TTCCCTTGAGCAAAAGATGTTACTTATTGTGTGGAAGGAGATGAGAGGAACTGTCTTTGACTTACCTTATTTGATTAGCCTCCCTGGTAATAGTATTGTCATCTAGCAGTCATTGAGGTGAGGTTTTTATGAAAAGTACAATAAGGCAATATCTGATCCTGTCATTCATTATTGCTCATATTGAAATAAGTTGTGTACATCTAGAGACTAAAAATTTTTCTCCCAGAAGAAAATCCTGGTTATATACTTCATTGCCTTGATAAATAAGTGATCTATTGACCCCTGGAGGTGATTTGCAGTGTTTTAAAGCCGAGATACACAACATAATTTATGATTCTAATCAGGCAGCTTTTCTAGATGGCATTGTAGTTTTCTCCATGGCAACGTTTTGCAGAGGTGCTGGGCTGGCTGTGTTGCCAGGCAGGGTTCACAGTAAGGGCTGCTGGTGTGGAGTTCTGCTGTGTGGAATGTGTCCCCCTTTCTTGGTCACTGTTACCGTTCCAGACTCCCTGCTGCAAGCCCTCTGTAGGCTGTCTACTGCAGTCTTTATTGAAGGCATCTTCTACAGCTGAGATTTAAAGCTGAACTCTAATCTAGCTCCTCCTGGTTTTTATTTTACCTAGTTTTGTCAAGGTCTGTCCTTTAACCCACAGGAACGAAAGTAGTTTTTGTTTTAACACTAAAATCTTATAATTAATGAACCGGCTTAAGTTTTTTTTGGCAGTATGATACAACTCAAACCCCATGCTTGACCTCTCTTGACTTTCGCATTAAAAATGCTTATCCCAGATGCTGAGGAATCTATAGAAGGCTTTTCTTAAATGCGCTAGTAGAATTCTTAGCAGCTCACACATGCTGTGCATTTGCTTTTATGAGGCTTTTAGACAGTCTTCAGAGAATTAAATACTTCTTGAAAAAGCTAATCTTTATTTTAATAGTGTAGTTTGTGGCCAAGCGACACAAGTATGTTTGTCTCTGGAAAGTAAGGCTTTCTCTTTTGATCCAAATTTTTGTGACAGGTGACAGACTTCTGTGTTCTGAGTTACTTCAGTTAACTGTAAAATGCTCATTAAATTCTATAGAGTACAAGGAATTTAATGAAGGATCACTTTAGCTTTGAAACGTGTTGAATTTTGGCATTACTTGTTCTTTGTCAATGATATCCTGTGTTGATTTTTTTTCTTTATCCTGTGTTGATTTTTTTTCTTTATCCTGTGTTGATTTTTTTTCTTTATCCTGTGTTGATTTTTTTTCTTTATCCTGTGTTGATTTTCTTATTAAATAATAAAAAGAAAAACGGTCAATTTTATTAGAGGTCCTTGGATGTATACACTGAACATGCATGGGGTAAGATATTTTTTTCAGTGGGAAATTTCATCCTTATCCCAACCATGTATTATTTTCCTTTCTGGAAATAAAGTGACATTCATCAACATTCATTGCTGCAGACTGAATCTGAGAGCTTCAAGACAAAAACACAGGATGCATTGTATTACCTGTTAGAAAACTTGTGTTCTCTGAGAACTGCTCAACAGGGCAGGAGTTAATCACAAATTAACTTGTGTACACAGATTCCGTAGAGTATAGAAGGCTTCGAGTACCCCACCAGAGGTTGAGGTGGAGTTAAAAATACTTTGACATGGATTTTTTATAAAATTGTGAGTTTTGATTTCTTAACACATTAACCTTTACTGTTCACTAAGCATAAACTTTAATTATTACAAGTTTATTAGAGACTAGAATGGTATTTTTCACATTGTATGCTTGATTTGCAAGGATGCAGGGTGGTGAAATATTTTGTTCTTCATCTCCAAACTCATTAAAAATACCAGCAGAATATTAGAAGTACTTAATGGAATTATTACAGTGCAGGTCTTCTGTGAAAGTCCTTTTGCTGTGCTCTAAGAAAAGCATTGCGTCCTAATTTCTTCCAGGAAACTGCTTAACTTAATAGGTAAACTAGACAAATTTCAGATAGTAGTTTTACCAAAAAGTAGAATTTTTAGATGAGTTTTGTGTAAGTTTTTTATATTGTTCGTAATTTAGCAAATACTTCTATTTTTCATTGTGACTCAAAAAAAAAAAAAAAAAGATTTTTGGAGAAAGGAAATGAATATAATTGTATGGTACTCGTTCCTGGCTAACGTATCTGTTTTTTCTCTGTTAGGTTGAAGACTGACAAAGCTTTGCGTTTGAGTATCATTGGTGAGCAGAAACTTCCATTACTGAATACAGTATTCAGCTTTTTAGCATAGATTTTAAGTTTTACCAGCTCTATAGGTACTCCAGTTAAGAGTTTCTTTCTCTATAATCGGACTCTGTAATCTTAAAATAGACTTTGCTGAAGTGCTAAAATACTTCACATGTTCACCCAAGTGGTGTATACAGGGTTGGAGTTGGGGCTGAGTATAGCATAATCTTTAGTCAGTGTACATAACCACAGGGCAGTATAGACCAAATGCCTGTTTTGTACATGTATTTATTGTACTTGTCTCCATGCTTTTTTTAATTGTGTGTAACAGAGGATGATATATGTAGGTTAACAGACACGTTGTGCTAGCAAGTAAGTTCAGAACTTTGAGAAACAGCCTGGAATGTTTTTCTCTTTCTTATGATTGACATTGCACCTTTCCAATTTAATCTGTGTAAAGATTGTGATGATCAGAACTCTTGCTTAGCCATTGTGGTGGTGTTTTGCCCTTGGCACCTTCCTAAGCTTCCATCTTAAGCAATCGATACAGTGGTATTTTGAACACTGATTTCCAGTAAAGCAAAGCATAACATCTTTTTTCTGCAAGGAAGATAGGAAATAAAATGATGTGAGAATGTTTCTATTACAGCTGCCTTCATACCTGGTACACACAATATCAGTGAGCCTATGATGCCATACAAAGTCTTGAAAAATGGGGGTTTATTCCAAAAACTTTGAAGAACTTGAATCTGTGTTGGTGCTACAGTGATGATGTAATCATTAATGTTATGTTTATTTTTGTAGGAGAAAAATTGCAATGGTTTCAAAGTCACCTTGATCCCGATAAAATTGAGTACACAAAGAAGGAAGCTGGCGAACTAATTGAAGAGTAAGATGGGGGTTAAAAACGGGATTGAAAAGCTTGATTTGTCTTTTAAAATAATGTTCTCAAATAAGATCTGTAAAGTGACAATGACTCAGAGAACATTTTATGTATTACTATTAATAATATGAAGTAGTTGATTTTGTTGCAACTGAGGTTAATTATATATTGAAAGATGTATATATTCACACTAGAATTACTGAAGTAAGTCATGTGGTGTTGTGTGGGTTTTTTTATTATTTAAGTGTATCTCTGCTTTTGTAGTGTGTGGAGAACTCTAAATGATTTGGACAGTAGTATTCGCTTGAATTTGCTAGTTGGGTTATTCAGTGCCTCTTAAATGCACAGATTTTATTCTACTTAATCCTTTATTCTTTGTTTTTTTTATGTGAAGTTTAAACAGTACTCAGGTGGCTCAGTTTTTAGGGCAGGCAATATCAAATCGAATCTGCTAAGAAGAAACTCCATTATTTCTGTGCTGCTGAATATATATACCTGTGACTTATCACCATTTTTCACCTGCTAGCTAAATAACGTAATAATATATATGTATTCTTACACAGGTGTGCTATATCACTTTCCTTTCAGAAGCTCTGACATATGTCCTACACTGTTCATGAAACCTGCTAGTGTAAACTGCTAATCAATGCTGGTGATACCACAAAGGCAATAAAAGCTTACTTTTTGGATTTGGATTGGATGTTTGCGAGACGATGTAAAACACAAGCCAAAGAATAACTTTACTTGAAAAATTATTATTGAGATGGCAAAACTCAGCAATTAAGTTAGGAATACTTAGATTTAACACTGGTCATCCAGAGCAAGTGAATTATAATAATGTGGGAGTTTTGTTTTGCGCAAGCATAGTTTAAAAACCAAAACAAATAAAAGAACCTAATCTTTCTGGAAGCCGCAGATGATTGAAATGAAGTTCTAAATGCAGCTTCCACTTGAAGATTAAAGTAATAGTTCAAATCTAAGAAATATCCCTAACTTAGAAAATACATACAGTTAGTAAAATAACTTCTTAGATTGTCAAAGTAATTCTGTTTTGCTAAAGTTTTCCATGACTGCATCTAGCATAAATGTATGTTATTTCTTTCAGTTATATGTGTCGATTCAATGCTGAATTGGAGCAGATTGAATTACAAAACAGTATTAAAGGCAGACAAGGAAGACAGCATGGTTCACGGGAAGCTGTCATCAAGCAGACCATAGAACGGGAAAGACAACTTTATGAAGGCTATGGAATAGGTATGTAAAAGCAGTAGGATTAATCCTGTGTTCACACCTTCTCCGGCTCAGGAGGCTAGAATCTAAGTGAAATTTCTAGGCATGATCATTATTTTTCTCTTTAAAGGAGTTAACTGACTGCTAAGTATTTATGCCTTGCAGAGGAGTTTGGGAGGAGGGGCAGGGTGAAGAAAAGGAGAAAAAAGATGGTGGAGATCTGACATAAGTTTCTGGTTTACTACTTTGTGCATCTTTGCACTAAAGAGGCAATACTAGCAGACATATATAACATGTTTTTGAAACTAAAGTGAGATTTAATGCACCTGTCTCAAATATAAATTCTGTTCATCAGCTTGCTTAGACCTTCATTATATACAAATTATTTATTTATCTTAAAAGTGCATTTCAGTGGGTGTGCATGTTTTAACATGCATTAGCGTGAAGACTTTGTTTGCTCGTGTGAGGAATAACCAGCATCCCTTTCTCTACAGATTAATTACTTTTTTTATGTGGGCTTCATCATCTGGACTTGTGCCCATGAAGTCTTTATACACAGCTTTCTCTAACGTTCTTTTGATCATATACAAACTTACTGTTAGGGATAAATCTGTGGCCCGACTTGCCCCTTTCCACCAAGATGGACCCAGGGGCATAAGGAACTTCAGCAAGTTTCATATCATGGGAGAGTGGGCTTTATGGATTATGCACTTCAAAGAGAAACAAATTCAAAGCCTTCAAATTTGTCAGCCTAAAACATCTTCAGAAAGGGACCTTTTGTTCCATTAAGGTTGAGATGTGTTTCATGTGGGAGAACGATTGGAGCAGAAGTTGTAGTACTGAAGTATTTCCAGAATTTGAATATTTCTGGAGTTTTCCTATTAAAATTTAGGTATTCTAGAAAGAAATCCTGGTCTATTGTGACATATCTACTTTACAGGCATAAATGATAACCCACAAGTAGAAAACCACTTTTTTTCCCTATTGTTCCTCTCAGGGAGAGGAGTTACACTACTTTAACTTACTGAATATGGTGCTGGAGGGGAGTGTAAGTGCTGTGTGTGTGAAGGCCCTAACACTTAACCTCTTAATCAAAAACTCCAAAGATTTAAAATTTTAAATCTTGTAGATAAAAGCCTAAGTCAAAGCTCTTTGAGTTTTTAAACATTCACCTTGACCATTATCACAAGTTTGCGTAAAATCATAATGCCAGATATTCCTGTTGACTTTTTTATTACCATTTATCTTCCTTTGGGGTAGCCATCTCTGCTAGCAGATTGTCTAATGAAGTCTTCTGAGAAGCAGTTGTGAGTGAAACCACAACATAAGCATTACAGCTGAAAATTTCCTCTTAATTTCCTCTTAAATGCTTTTTTAAAGTATTTTCTGGTTTTGGAGGTAGTACACCGATGCAAGGTACATGTAAGAAAAAAAAAAAAAGACTGAAAATTTGATAGCTGGAACTAGGCTGAAGGGAAGCAGCAGTAATCTGGTGAAATGAGAAAGACAAAGGGATAATGGAAGTGCAAAAGCAAAGAATTGTTTTGAGGAGCATCGAGTATAAAATAGTAGTGAAATTTATGTATTTTGCTTTAAAAAAATAAGCATTTTGGAGTTGAGTAATGAGCTTTGCTTTAATGCTAAAGTATTATTCAGACACAATCAGCCCTTCTAAGACGGAAAGTATGTTATGGAAGACATTACGTTGTTCTGTGGTTAGGATACGAAGTACAGCAAGGTTTGGGTTGGGTGTCATATTCTCCTTTCCCTCGATCTATATTGTACCAATAAAGAAAATGAATGACTTTAAAATTTTGCCAGTGTTACTACTTTCACAAACTGCAGTGGCAGATGAATTCAGGAATATCTCCATGACTTCCTGCGTAATCTTCCATTTCTTGGAAGCGGTGGTGGAAAAATCATAGGAAAGTAGATGGTAAGAACATCATCAAATAGCTGAGTTGTAGAACGTCTCCTTTTTCGTTTTGCTTTTAAATTTTAGGTCTTTTTTCCCTACTGCTTTGTGGAAGGCTGACAGAAAAAAAGCAATAGGACTAGATAGAAAGATGTCAAATGCATAAGCACAACATAAAAATAAAGAATCCAGAAATATTGTAAGCAAAATTTGAAGTTATTATAGTATTAGTAAGTAAAGCATTCAGAGAGTATGGTGCAACTTCACATATTAAATACAGTCTCAAATCATTCATTATTTGTTATCACAGCTGCTGCAGGTTTTGCTCTCTGTCTAGGACAGTATTCATTCAGAGAAAATAGTTGCTGCTAAATACTGTAATTAGAGATTGGGGATAAATGGAAATCAGCTGGAAACTGGGCTTTTATGCCCTAGCTCATTATTATCCCTGGAAGCTGTAGAGAGTGGAGCTTTTATAACTGACTTAGTATTTGTTGGTTTTTTTCCCCCCTGTTCTTGAACTCAGTTATTTCTTGTATGTGTGTGCATTTGCTATGAAAAGACTACATGATATGAATTGTTTACATTTAGGAAAGTCTCCTAAAATTTGATGCCATCTGTCTATCTATCTATATCCATCTATCTATCTCAGATATATGTAAATGAAAAATTAATTCTTCTTTACTGGCTGTTTATGGAAGTGATAGATATCCAAAAGCATAGTAAATTTTAGTCTTTTTTAAAGAAAATAGTACCTATTCAGGGAACATTCAGCCTATCTGTGAGGTTTGTGAGTTTTGTTAGCAGCTTATTGTCAGTTCTTACTCCTTAAATGTATCTACATTAATTTTACTGCAGTTTTCTTCCTGATGTTGTCATTCGTGTGTGTTTTTTTTTTTAATCTGGTTTTACATGTTTATAGCAAAGCTATTGAAAGGGAGTCCTAGATATTTACAGGATATGCCCTTGATACTCAGACTAAGCATGCTTTCAGTTGAAAAGCATCATAATTGTTTTGTCTGAACATCATACATTTTTGATAATCTGCTTCTAATTACCTTGCATGTTCTTTCGGAGGCATAATGTTTATCTTGGGGAAAGACAGCCTTTCAAGAATTAACTAATAAAACTGGTGTGTTTAGCTTTAAACTTCAGATTATAAGCAAATTGATTTAATTCAGATGGAAGTGGTATCATTTACATGTGTCTGCTAGTGTAAGTACTGTACTGTTTGTTAGCTGGTGTTTTCTGTAACAATCATTATTATGTAACTGAATAGTTCTTTGTCTAAAGAGCATCTGCAGTTTCTAACATCCTTTTCCTTTTTGACTTCAGGCTGCAATATCATCCTTTGACCTGACTTGGGTGTTTCTCTGTGGGACAGTTCTAATGGATGTGATATATATGCAGCCTATATTCAGTGCTCTGCACAGACAGAGCAGTGACATTTCAGTTCTTTTAAAATTTAGGTAAATCTCTTGTGCAAATCTTTGCTTTGGGAGAGAGGAATGATTACTGCTATGAAGAACGACAATGTTTTTTATTAAGAGCATACTTCTGGAAGGAAAGAAAACATCTCAGGAGACCGTCACAGAGCACTTGGTTAAAGAATAGTGCTGTGGGATACAGCTGTAGAAGGGCACTCTGACACCAGCATTGGCTTCTCTATCCCCTTTTTCTCTAGTTATGCTTTAGAAGCCCTCCACTTCAAGCTGTCGGTCTGATGCCTGTAAGGACTTTGAAGTACTGATCCAGTGCTTCTCCATCCAAACAGTTTGAAAGGTGCTGACTTTACTGTATTTTACACAAGTTTTGTGTTACAAATAAAGCTCAGCCACTTTGTCTTTTTCCTTGTTTTGAAATGGTGTTAAGCACTAACATCTTCATGACAAAGTTTGAATGCTAACATGCTGTTTGTTCTTACTCAGATGAAAGGTAGGAAAATAAAGCTTATCTGAAAGGGTCAGAAACATGAAAAACATGCTTACCTAAATTTTTCACTGCCGTTTCATTAGAACGCATAGGTTGCTGAATACTTGATCTTAGAAATGCCAGACAATATCTGCTTCCCAAAATGCTGTCTTCATTTCTTTTCCACTAATTCCTGTGCTATATTTCTCCATCTTCCATTTTTTCCATATTTAGTTTAGACAAACATGCTCCTGTGACCTAACATTTTTAAAGCAAACTAAGAAGTTCACAAGTAGCAACAAAACCCATGACACTCATGCATGCCAAGGAGATGCTTCTGAGTAAGACAAGTGTTATTAATCTGAAAATAAAGCACTACTGCAGCTTTCCACCATAATTTAAAAAAAATCACTCTATTTCTACACACATGGGACTAGAGTTTCTAATTCTCTTCCTGGGAATTCTGTGGTTTGTATTCTATAACATACGGCAAACACACATGTAAGCACAACTTAAAAATTTTGCCACTGCCAAAGCAGTAAAGATCAATTCAGTGCCAAATCTTGGTTTGTCACAGAATCTCCTCCCTTCACAATGCCTCCTTTCTGGTGACATTGGTAAGCCCTGGATGACAGGCTAGATAAAACTGTTAGAATAGTCTCTTTGCAAAAAGTCCTACATAATTTAATAAAAGCCATTACATGCTTTCCAAGGTGTTTTTTTCAAACAAAAAAAAAAGCAATTGAAAGGACTTCATTTGAATGTCTTGTCATTTAGTCCTGGTTTATCTGAGAATAACACTGAACTGTGTGTTGGATCAGTGCTTTGATAGAAGGAACATATATAAATCTCAGCATGTTTCTGGGGCAGTTGGCCCAAATTAGCATGGTGCCACTCCTGCCAAACTCACTGTTTACATCCGTAAGTTCTGTCCTAGAAGCAAACCGAGTAGATGTTGTTTCTTGTAAAATACCTGAGAGAAGGGAAGAGAGCTACTTTCTCTCGCGGGGGCTAGGATGTTTCAGCATTTGGCACTGTGCTGTCAAGGGTGCAGTTCAAGGGACTGCAAAGAAAGCAAGAGGGACCATGGCTTTGTTTCAATGCTTAGTTGGCAGGAGTAGACCTAATGTGGCATTGATGTTTATCAGAACTAAGGAATCAGCAGACAAAAAAAGAATTAGGTAAATATGTCTTTACCTTGCCTTGTTCAGCTGTGAGCAGTATCACCTTACTCATTTACCAAGAAGCAGGCTACAGAAATCGGTGTAATTGTTACCAAACATTTTTCATATATTACTGTTCCTCAATTGGTAACTTTATAACTGAGCTTTAAAGGAAGGAATATTTTTCTGAATAGTAAAGACTACCTGGCTACAAGGGTAAGTGACAGGTATCATCCTACATTCTGCAGCAGCAAAATCATCTATACTATAGAATGATCTGATTTATTACTGTAAGACTTGGGAAGATTGATAGATGAACAAAGGCAGAACTGTATGTTCAGTATAAGAAGTTGCTGAAATGTCACATTTTTAAGAGCTAAAATAATAAAGTGGATTTAATGTTACAGAGGTAGCAAGCGTCTTCCTTGTTGAGAAACCTGCTGGCTGTGAAATCTGTACAGTTCACAAACATCAATGAGGTATTTTATACTTTGCAAAAATTTTGAGGCTCCTAAGGCATAAATCTCTATAAATTAGTGAAGATGTTAAACATAGGTCACTTGCAGTACTTTGGGACTGAGCAAGAAAAGAATGACACTGAGTCAAGGCAAAGCAGCTTAGGCATCCTAGGTGAAATTCCGTGTGAGTTTATAAACTACGCATCTAGTAGGAACATTCTGGCTACTCCAGAAAAAAAAAAAAAAAGTCTGTCCCATAGGTCTCTGTACAAGATGTTTGCCTTCTCTTTTACTATCAAGGTTAATAAAAATTTGTCATGAGTGTATGTCACTTATTTCCATTAATGAAGACGGAAAACTTTCAGTCAGTAACACTATTGATGTTTGTTTCTGTTCAACCAAGAGGAACATCATCTCCTGAGAGGAGACAAGTGCCAACAGTCTATATAAATATTACGTTGCATGTGCTGCAGTGTTTAGCAGGCATTTCAGCAACAATGGAAAGCTAGTTTCTCGGTTTTGAGTGGTTTACAGAACAGGTATTTAACACTGGAAACTATAATTGCATTGGAGTGAGACTAATTGTTACTTAATAGCTATTCTTCGCTCTCAGACTGTCTCATTGCAGGTGGAAGGAAGTAGTAGCATATTGTAAAATCCAAGAGTATGTTCTATTTAAACTCCTGAGATCTTACTGTACTCTTCCTAGTGTTTATATTTTAAAAACACAAACACATATATATTCTTGTACAGTATGGTAAATTTTACTAAGTGTATTTAACTATTTGTTACATTTTCTTACTTGAATTATCAGATTGCTGATCTGTCTTGCTTGCATTTCAAAATACTTACGGATGACTCAGGACTCATTAATTTAGAGTGAGGCTTGTGTGTTTAAGTCAACTTTGAAACTAAGCTTTCTTATTTTACCTTTTATCTGTTGTGCATAATTATAGTAAGTTCTGCAGAATTGTCTTTTTATTATGTAAGCGAATGTCTGTTAAAAACTAGCATAACTAGACCTCGATCTTAGTTGAAGATGTTCATATGCTTTCAAATCAAGTAATAAATTAATTATTTTAATAACTTTTACAGAAACTTTAAGTGCTCAAAATTTTGCTGTTTCTCAGATGTGTCAGTTTAGAGAAAATGAAGCACTCTCTTTTTGTTATTTGTCAGGATTGGATATTCTGTAACTGGTAGATATGAATTCTGGAACATTTCATAGGTTCAATTCCTTTTCTTTAGCAGTGAGAGGTCTTCCTGTTCATATATTGCTCTAGAAACTTTCTAATACGAATCCTCATTCTCATTTCCATGGTCTTTTAATCTCTGAAATATTATGTTCAGCCCTTTAGCTCACATTTCTTTCTTTGAAATGAGACTCACTTGAATAATGTAACACGTCTAATAGAATTTAATTTCATTCCCATTAGAAATCCCAGACATTATGAACAGAAAGCATCTTAAATTTTTCAGGTAAGTTCTTTTTATTATCACTACAAATCTGTTTATGTAAAACAGTGTTTCTGAATTTGACATGATGCATGTCTTTTTTCTTAAAAAAGGATTTATGCAAAACTGTCAAAAGGATTTGTCATTTGACAAAGCAGACTAGGTACAGCGTTGCTGTTGTGTCATTTCTTAGCTGTTACAAGCTAAACACGGGTGACAGTTAATCATTAAAACGTTGGAAGGGTTAGAAAGCTTCAACAGTTGGAATTCCACTTCTGTAACATAAGTATCTTTTTTTCAATATTCTTAAGAGAATTTTTTCTCTTTACCTAAAATTCTCACCTCAGCTGTTCACTGATTTACCCCCAAAAAATTACCATTTACTGTTAGTGTTTAAGGATTCAGACAGATTTATTGATAAATGGAATTACGCTGTTTTCTTACTGACCTAAGTTATTTATAGTCAGAACTTACCATTAAGGAACAAAAATAGCACTAAGTTCTTAGTCATGTTTTCTAAGATCCAACTCTAGGTGTAGTATGGTAGTGTTTGTGTGTATATAGTAGTTGAAAATTCTCACAAACGACTAGCATCCAGTTAAAAGGAGCTGTGAAACTTTCTGCTAGCTCATCTGGGCCAGCAAGCCAATATGCCTTGGTAATGGATTGAAAGAACACTCTTGCTGATGGCTCTATAAAATCATAGAATGGCATATGCTGGAAGGGACCTCAGAGATCATCTAAGCCAACCTCCCTGTCATGGGCAGGGATGCCTCTCAACTAGATCAGGCTACTCAAGGCTCTGTCCAACTTGGGTTGGACACTTTAAAATGAGACACTTTAAAGGAAGGAAAAGACTTACGAATGCTTATGTTACAAGGAATGATATACCACTAACTCCTAGGAGCAGTACGTAGCCAGAAGTCATACTTAGAGGATGTTGGAATAAAGCCAGAAATCTCAAAGAAGAGACAGGCCTCTGGCTGCTGTATTTATAAATACACAATTGACTTCTTGTACTGGGACATCTGATGGAAGCATTGTTTTATTGCCTTGGTAGAGCAAAAACATGTCTATCTTACAACTGGCAAATACTGTCTTTGCCCTTGAGAAAAATTCTCTATGAAGTGCACTTATTATAATCAAGAAAGCATTCTGTTAATTGAGTACTGCATTCGACTTACGGTATTTAAATGAACCCTTCCTCCTTCATGCAGCCTTTTGAAATAACATACCTATCATGTGAGTTAATGTTTACTAACATTTTGTGTCCCTTTGAAGTGAATCATACAAGATGTTAAGTTACCATAAAGCGTAATGAAGAACTTCATGTACAGGTGGTATTAACTCTGCAAATTGAGCATCCAGATGAAGAAACTATTCCAAACTGCTTTTCCATTCCTTGTAAAACTGAGAGTATAATGTGCCAAACCTAAAAGCAAGTGTTCTAAAGAAACAGAGGATACAAGTAGTCTGTGGGAATAAAGTGAATCATGTATCTTTTGTTCAGAATGTCAAATCCAAAAGTACTTTATTCTTCACAGAGAAGTTACAGCTGCTGTAGTGTACAAGATCAGGAGAAATTGTTGGTGCTTATTCATACTACAGTGGGACTCATAGTATAGTTTAGAAAAGCATCTTCCGAGGAAAGGTGGATTAACTCTGCCATTCCTTCTTGCTATTTCTGTTGGTAATTGTTTCTGTTACTTTTTTTTTTTTTCTTTAAGAGAATGGGATGGTGATCTGAGGAAACTGCCAAACATCAAAATGAAAAAGCTTTCAGCTAAGGATGCTACTTGCAGTCACTCTGAGGTGGCAGATGTAGAAGCTGAAGAAGAATTGAATAAAGCAGAAGAGGTGGCTTAATGAGCACCAGCTGATTCAGGAGCTGAAACAGCTGAAGGGAATTGTAAGAAAACTATTTTAATTATCACTGGAAACAAGAATAAATTTAACTATATTTGCAAAGGCTTTGCTAGCTGCATTTTTTATGAGCTCACTGTGTACCTATGGTAAAGAGTAAACTATATTATTGGGAAAAAGAAAAAGAATATAAATAACTACTTAAAAATCTTGTGTCCTTACTTGTCATACTGTACCTTCTCTTTGGGATGCAGGCTCCTGAGTTGACAGAGCAATAGTAGTTTATATCTTGAAATCCTGACTAGTTGAATACCTCTTCCCTGGTCATGGAGCAGTCAGGATTCAGACACCTGTTAGAAATACTTTGTGGTGGGAAATCCTTACCTTTCCCTGGTTATGGTGGGAATGTATGTCATTTAGTATACAAATAGCAGGTACCCTGCTAAACAGAGGTCCAGCTACTGGCAGCTTTTATCCATCTCTTCTAGCGGCTGGGATGTCTCTAAGTGTACACAGTTTTGTGGCGAGCAGTGACAGGCCTCATCTCACAAAATTCTGTGCTGCGTGGCTCAGAACGCTCACTGTGGGTGTACAAAATGCTGTCCCGTTTGGTGGAAATGCCTATGCAGAAGGTGAGATACATGGACCATCAGTTATTCATGAAGAACTCTTCTCTTGTAGCTCCTCTTGTTTGAGAATCCTCTTGTTTGAGGAACCTAGAGAGCTGGAAAGACTTCAATAAAATACTGAGTGTTTTATGTTTGGACAAGAGAATTTGAGAGAATTACACTGTCCTTACCACTCTGTATTGAAGAGTTCAGATCAGAAACCAATTAAAGTCCTTATGTCTGTTTTTAAATATATCTTTTGTCCTTTTTTTTTTTTTTTTTTTTTGCCGACCTCTCTGTTGAGAAAGCTGTGCATTTTAAAATTAAGTTGCTTAGGACTTCTAAATAGCAGGCTTGCTTTATGAAGCAACTCTTTAGATGCTTTTAAATGTGTCTTTCAGGAAGGTTCTTAGCAGATTCTCACTTTTAATATTGTAAAATAAAAGAAGAAAAGGGCAAGGGCAAAGCCCGGGATAATTTCACAGCAGACATTAAGTAGGACATCTCTGTTAATAAATATTAGATCGTCTGGGCACAGAAGTCAGCAGTACAAATGTACTGTCTGCATACCTTGTAGCAGTCACCATTCAGATACCTGTTAATTAATAATTAATAATAACAATTAATAATGCAGAAATAATTATTCCTGGTGGATTATCTTTCTAGTACTTGATCCCCAATACAGTTCTGTGTGTTAAAGAACAAGGCTTTGTCATGGTAAACAGTCACATGGGTTTCCCAGATTTCCTTTACAGATACCCAGGTGTGTATTTTCTTAGCTCTGCAGTAGGTGTTACTGATGAGTGTTACTCTCTTAACATCTGTATTAAGTTTTTCCCTCTTTACAAAATACAAAATTTCCCTCAATACAAAAATCTTTCCCTCTTTCATGTTTTAGGAAACCAATCTATTTAGGTAACATAGAATTAACCATTGTCCATAAATTAATCTAAAGAAGAAATCTGAAGAAATTTAACTGATCTGAAGCATGTGTGAGTGATCTAATGCATCTTCAGATGGACTGTAAGCCTTAAACCTGGGTAGAGGTCTTACTGCTGACACCAGCCATATCTCTAGGCTGTCACAGCACTGCTTTGTTTTTGTGTTTTCGAAATAAGTGTGCTGAAGTTCAGGACAGGCTTTGATATTTTTTACACTTTATTAAATTGAGCTGTGTTATGGAATTCAGCTTGTTTTGATTTATAACACCTGAGGTGTTCTGGTGGAAGCAGAGCCAGGGTAATTGGTCTGAACTAAAGTCGTGTGTGTGTTTGTTCAGTGCTTTGACAGATTTTACCTTTCAGAAGATTCGTCTTAAGTTTTTGTTTGTATACAGCGTCTGATGTGCTTTGAAATTTTAAGTAGGAAAAAAATGCAGAAAAAGCCACTTTCCCATCACATTGGGTAAATTACAGAAGGAAAATGAGCAGTAAGGTAAGTGGAAGGTGTGACAGTAATAACAGTATATTAGGCTGACATGCTGGTGAAAGCTTTAAAAAAGATTGTCATGCAAAGGTACGAAGAATGAGATGTTGTATATTCCATGAAACAATTCAGTTATAAGACATTATAAAAAAGTAATTATTACTGGTGTAGTTGGTGTGATATTCAAATATTTGAAGTGATTTCTTTTTGACATTTGTTATTCACATTTCAAGAACATGTTTACAATTTGGACGTTGCTGAGTTTGTGGATTCTCCCCCTTGAAGTCTGTGTATTCACTGCTTGTTCAGCTGGCTTTTAAACTGTCTTGTTGACCTAGTGCATAAGTAATGAAAAAAGAACAGTTTCTGTGTGTGAACTTATTACATTGAATTATCAGAAAAAATCGTATGTAGCTGTCAAGTATTCATATTTGAATTGAAAAGTAATCTAGGCTTAAGTTGGTGATGTGCCAGGCGAGTACACATTTACCAGATGACTTGTGTTGCAGAATAGTAATGTGGCAATGGGAAAGAACAAAAAAGAAAAACCCAAATAAAGCTATGCATTTATTTATTTATTTTTAACTTCCATGCTCGTAGTTTTTTTTGATTTGGGGGGGGGGGAGGATGTAGAGAGACTGTCATTTGCCTCACAAGTGTTACTGAGAGGAGATAATGGAATCTCTTCTGTCAGTTTCATAATCCAGTCATGCCTGTGCTTTACAGCCAACTATTAGGGTTTCCTATGTTGATTAATTTCTTCCCTATGGTGGAAAAAAAAAGGATGAATGCTCTCAGGAGTTCTGAATTGTTATTCTGTTTCTTTAAAATTAAGATCTAGAAAGCAACTGCTGTTAACAGTGGGAGTGGGAAGTACTTATGTGATGTTCTTTGTTCTTACAAACTTGCTGTAGGCAATACCTTGAAATTCTGTTCATTTGTAAATAAGGATTTCAGACTTTAATGTCAACCCTCTATTATACTTCTCTGTAATGGACAGGGTTTTTTTTCTGGTTAAAGATTAACTTTATGGAAGATTTCTTTCATTCTTAACTTGTTAGATATTGCTTCACAACGTCCCTGTGTTTTTTAGTTTTTTTAACTGCAAAGTTGTAATAGTTAAAACTCAAGTTTCTGTAATTATCAGGGCTCATATTAAACATGAAAAATTTCAAATAAAAAAGTACCATTTTAACATAGAAAGCCACTTTTATATAAGAACTTAGGTGTTTTTTTTTTTTTAAATGTACTTTCTAATTTGTTACACTGTACTTTGCAGTGTAATTACTAAGTTATACTTTGACTCCAGCCAGCCTTGGAGAGCTAAGTCTTCTCTAAGGAACTGGCTGAATTACATTCAAACTTTGAGTAGCAGCTGAGTTGTTAGTTTTGATCTGATTCTGGAACTTACTCTATTGATGATACCAGCTGGAAAAAAACAGCTGACTTCAATTCCAGTAGCAGTGTGATATTTTTTTTATGTAAACAAAGCAAATATTGATTTAAAAAAAAAAACAAAACACAAACCAAACCAACAGAAAACACTGTCCTTCTCAGGGCTGGTAGTATGCAGTGGATTAATTAATTTATAGTTCTTTAGTGACTGAATCAATGGAACTGTTCACCATGGCTTTCCAAACTGCTCCACAAAGTTGGTTCTAAAGTGATAAGACTTCCACTATTTGTGATGTGGAGAAACAAGCACACAGTGAAGCACTTAGCCTCAGTATTGTATTTTTCCTTTTTTCTTTTACTAAAGTATGTGTTGATCCTTATGGAACTCCAGTATGTGCAGTGGGATGCAACAAGTCAAAAAGGCAACATATATGAACCATTTTCTGAGCCATTCCTACGTAGTTGAAGGAATATACTCAAAGAGTATCTTCTTGTGAATCTTTTTTTTTGTGTCTTTGATTGCAATAGCATATTTACTCATCTCTGTAATGACGCTGCCATACGTGAGGACAGAGTCTGGGATCCAAAAATGTGTATGTCAGAGTCCCACTTTTAAAAAACTTTTTTTGCTAGACACCTGGCAGATAGGAAAAAGTAGTAAAAAAAGACATTATTGGTTTTTCTCAGCAGAAAAAGCTTTCAGCTTAAGGAATCCTCCAGACTTTGCTTTCTAGTAAAGGGCAAAGAAACACCTGGGCTACAGAAGTATGTCAAACTGACTTACTTGGTTGGTCTCACCATAACACAATGCATACATTGTATTTCTATCTTCTAGCTCTTTCAAAAGTAAAAATTAATTATAATTGACTTCCAGACTTCCTTCCCAAATAGAAACAAGTTTTATGAAGGTAAGAAACTGCTAATGAGGTGTTATGATTTATGCACTGCAATTTAACCTGTTGCCCTAAATACAGCTAGTAAGAGCCTGTGCAGAGTTCCTGTAACTCTAAAACTCTAAAAATAAGCTAATGGTGGGAAACTTACTGTAGTGGTCCTGTAATGAAGTTCCCTAAGTCTTAACTGTTTGAATTGCAAATACTGCCCAATTTTCTTAAAAGGAAGAGTTTAATATGTAACTGGTTACCTGTTACAAATGAAAAATAAAACTATTTAAACTAAGTTATTAGATTAAAGTGCAACCATTACTCTAAAACCAGTAGCATTTTCTAAAGAAAAACAGAAAGGTGGCAGCATTCTACTAATGTCAGCTCATATTCAAATTCACGCATAGTCAATCAAGACAGTAACATGCTGATTTGAAAATTTATAAAGTGACAGTGCCTTTTGTTAGGACATTAACTGGCCAAAAATTCTTAACCGTACTTTTTTAATGAAGTATTCTTCTTTTTCTCCAGCTCTCAAAACGTACTAGCAAACCTAGAGGTAAAGTGGCACTTGACGAAGATTCACTAAAGTCTTTGCCTGAACTTTCTTCTAGACTGATTTGTTCTTTTGAGTGCATTCTTCAGGGCTCCTGTAAGAAGCAGTCTTGCTTCTGAGAGCCATTTAAGATTTTGTTGGTTGCTTTGTTGTTCTTTTCTGAGTTTACTTTAATATAACCCATCTAAATCTTTCTTTACTTTTCACTTCTATGCTGTTTGCGAACCATTATTAAATT